TGAGTCTGGAGAAGAAGATTTTTGAAATATTGGATAATTTTCCCTTTGGGGCCCCGCCCTGGCCCCAGGGGTGGGGGTAGGAATCCCAATTTTACAATTTTGAAGCCTCATCTACCAAGGATGATTCTGACCAAGTTTGAAAAAAATCCATCCACTGGTTCTTGAGAAGAAGTTGAAAATGTAAAAGTTTACGCACGACGCACGACGGACGACGGACGACGGACGACGACGGACGAAAAGCGATTGGAATAGGTCACTTGAGCAAAGCTCAGGTGACCTAAAAAGAGTAATACTATGTCCACAATACCTGCATGGATAGTCCGGGGTGTATTTAGACTGGTTTTGTCGGTACTTTTCCATCAAGTTGTGTAAGGAGGTCAGGGCTGTGGGTATGTCTCCCTTCTCTTTGTTCAGTATAGCACTTCTGGAGGAGCAATAGTACAAATGAATGGAAAGTTGAATACTGTGTGGTACAATTGCACAAGTCCAGTATATATTATTAAAATATTATTTTCTTTTTCTTTTTTCTTTTATTTCCAAACCTTCAACTTGAACATCTAATAAAGCTGCAAAAGTCAGCAACATTCAACACCTAGCTTAGACTGGTGACCCCAAATTAAACTGGTTAGCCATGTCTGAGACTTATAAATCCTATCCCAGATTGATGAAACCTTACCGAGACTAGTAAACCCTACTTCAGACTAGTGACTGCAACCTCACACTACCATCCCCTATCTTAAATAACTACACCTACTCAAAACAGGTATATGATGGTGCCCTTAATTTTAGATTAAAGACAACTACATTAAATTTAATAACAACCCATAACTAAGCCTACAGATGACAGCTACTTTAGACCGGTAACATCTACCTTTACCTGGTGACTTTTACCTCATGATCAGCTTAGTCACCTCTGCCTCAGCTTAGTGAGTCCTACCGTAGCCAGGTAACCTCTACTTAAACATGATGACCTCTATCTTAGCCTAGTGATCCATACATTAGCCTGGTAATCCATGCCTTTACTTGGCGCCCCATACCTTAACCTGGTAATTCATGTCTTTACCTGGAGCCCTATACCTTAACTTAGTGCCCCATACATTAGCCTGGTAATCCATGCCTTTACCTGGAGCCCTATACCTTTACCTGGTGACTCCTACCTAAGCCTTGTAACCTCTGCTTTAACTTAATGACCTCTATCTTAGCCTGGTGACTCATATCTTTTTATTTTTTATTTTTTTTTATTTTTCAAATTTTTACATTAGTATACAATACAGTTACAATATATATACATAACATGACATAACACAAACATATATAAAGACATACACACACTCATTCATTATCATACAAACATCAATACAATTATCAGAAAGGAAAGGTAGGATTGTTGAAAATTTGTATTACATTTTGAATTTCTAAGTTAGCTGTCAGTGTGAGCGTAATCAATATTTACATTTACTCAAAACAACAAATATATTTATAAATTGATAAGTTACTTATGGTAAATCAGTCGTAATTTCAAGTTTGGGTGTTTCAAAAAAAGTTTTGCCATTTGGCCCATTCTCTTTGAAACTGGTCTAAGTAGCTTTCTCCCTTACTTCTAGCAATGTATTTTTGAGTTGTATATGTATCTTTTAGTGTATTTTTCAGGGCAATAATGCAGAGTTCGTTCCTGAGGCACCTTGCTTTGTAGATATATTGTTTTATTGTAAAGATGATCATATTATCCACTTTTCTGTTTATTCCATTCTGA